GGATCAATGGAGCCCAGGAATTTAACCTTGCATTGAGCAATGATTGCACCACGGCACTCCAGCTTGGGCTCCAGAGTGAGATGTGTCTCACAAACAAACAAGCAAACAAACAAACAAAAAACCCTAAGGGATTAAGATGGGATGGGATAAGCAGGGCTCATAAGCAGGCAAATAAACAAATAATCTTCCCAAACCTTTAATATTTAGGGTGGATAATTTGATATACTCCACCTTTTTGTTGCCTTGATTCTGGGGAGAAATAAAAAGTGAGAGAAGTCTCCAACCAAGTGAGCAGAGTTACATTGTCAAGAATATTTCTCTAAGGGAATTGATTATCCCATAATTATATATAATCAAGATGCATAACTGCATGTATAATAATTTAACACATATGTAAAACATTGCATATATAATACATAGGTACTGAGACTAATTCAAACATATCAAAATGCAAAACTGGTTTAATATGTTTTATACAATGGAATACCTGCAGCTATTAGCTGGTAAGAATGGGTGATGGAGATAAAATCTGTTGACAGGAAGCGGGGATGCAGTGACTCACACTTGTAATCCCAGCACTTTGGGAGACTGAGACGGAGGGTCACTTGAGCCCAGGAATTCAAGAACAGCCTGGACAACATGGCAAAACCCTGTCTCTACAAAAAATACATAGCTGGGCGTGGTGGTGCGTGCCTGTAGTCCCAGTTACTTGGGAGGATCACCTGAGCCTGCAGTGAGCTGTGATTAAGCCATTGAGCGACAAAGTGAGACCCTGTCTCAAAAAGAGAAAATGTTTGTTTACATGAAATAATGCCAATGATGTACCAAGATTTTAAAAAGTAAGAAACGAGGGGAAAAAAGAGCAGATTATAAACTATATGTGTCTTATAATCACATTTCACTTTAAAATATTCCATTCTTTATATATATCTATATGTCTATCTATGTCTGTACTTATAGAGAAAGAAAACCTAGAAGTAGAGTCACCAAAGGGTTAATAATCATTATCTATTGTAATGGGTGGAGTGTAATTTTTCTATTTTTCTTCCTTCATAGACTGTGAGCAGAATAGTTATATGATCATAGTTATATTCTATCTATAATTTATTAATCATCTATTATGTGTCAAGCCCTTTATTATGTTCTGTTCTCCTAGAGCTTGTGTTTTATGACTGGATATATCAGCTGGCATTCTAACTATAGCTGCAAACAACAGAAACCATGCTGCCTAATTTAAGTAGAAATGTGATTTATTAAAGGACAGTTCTCCCGGGGAATTGTTCCCCAGAATTGTTGGGAGAGCTGGAGAAACAAGATTCAAGGCTAAGCTTCCATGAGCAACTCCCCAAATCACATCGCAGAACTGACCTGATGAGGTAGCCACCTTTACTGTTACTGCCGCTGCCGAGCAGGAAGTGAAAGGAATCGGCTAGTGTAGCTCCTACTGCTCCAGCACCAGAGCTACTTCTGAGCCAACGACTTGCATTTGTAACCCCTGCCGCTCCTGAAAGCTGAACTCATCAGCTGCTACCTGCATCTGCAAAGATGGAGGCTGCATGCATATGTAAGATCCTGTGTGCAGACAGATGGCTGCCAGAACCTGGGTCACATGCCTGCCTCCGAGTTGCCGAAGTGGCTGGAAATTTGGGTTCTGAATTCTGCATTGATGGGGTTCGCTTAATCCCAGTACTTTGGGAGGCCCAGGGGGTGGATCAAGAGGTCAGGAGTTCAAGACCAGCCTGACCGACCTGGTGAAACCCCATCTCTACTAAAAATACAAAAAAATTAGCCGGGCGTGGTGCATGGCACCTGTAATCCCAGCTGCTCAGAGGGCTGAGGCAGGAGAATCGCTTGAACTCAGGAGGCAGAGGTTGCAGTGAGCCGAGATCAGGCCATTGCACTCCAGCCTGGGCTGAGACTCCATCTCAAAAAAAAAAAAAAATTATAAGGACAACAAGGAACCTGACAAAAGTACTCGTAGGTTATTGATGGCAGTCAGGACTTGTTTTGAATGCATGTAAAGGAAGCCTCATGCAAAGGAGGTTAAGGGAAAGAGGCAATGAATGGGCTCGGTTCGTACTGGCCCCTGTCGTAACTGGATCCAGGGATGTCATCAGGTATCAATCTCTTTCTGTCCTCAGGTTCTTTTGTGTGGATAGCATAATGGACCCTTGGTAGCCTCACATATCAATACAATTTCATTAGCAGAATTTCCCCAGGGCTTAGACAAAAAAGCCTCCATAAAGAGACTTTGATTGGTTCAGTGTGGTCACGTGCCTATCCTTGACCAACTCATGTACTGGGGAACCTGGGTCATATCCCTGGGGTGTGATGGTGTCAACTCTACTCCTGAAATATGGAATTGGTTCCCCACAAAAAAAAAAAAACAAAAAAAACAAAAAAAAACATATCCTGGTTCCAGCACATACTAATTGTATCATCTTGGACAAGTCACAATTTCTCTGAGCCTCAGTTTTCTCATCAGTAAAATGGGAATAATAAGAGTATGACTTCATAGGGTTGTTAAGACAAGATTAATATAAGGTTTAAAAGAATTATATTTGTAAATCATAGAAAAAATGTCTGTCATGGTATACAAGTGTTTACTACTGTAATTATATTCTGTTAGTCAGAAGAAGGGAGAAGAAGTGACAGGTAAGGGAGACACATATTTCTACTGCACTCTAGAGCAGGCAGTTGAAAATGTGAGTCTGAATTTTAAAAGAGGTCTTGGCTAGAGTCTGCGGAATGAATAAGAGAGTGGAGTATATGACCCCTCAAGGGAGAAAGTATGGAGAGGGAAGAAGATGAATAGGGTGGAACATAACCAACTCCATAAGGGGACGAACTTTATAGTACTGATGTTTTTCACATCATACCCCATTCAGTGGAAATTCAACTCGGCAGTTTTAAACATGCACTTTTGACTGTGTCGCATTCCCACCATGAGTCTAAGTCCTTTCTTGAGATTCTTCTGAACTCTGTACACTTTAAAGATTTTTTTTAATAACAGATTATTTGACCACATTAAAATTAAACATTTCAGTTCAAATAGAGCAAACTATAGATAAAGTTAACAGATGGGTGACAGACTGGAAATAAATGTAGTATGGGATTAGTTGATTGGGATTAGTATCTAGAATATGAGGAACTCCAAAAATAAAAAAAAAGTAAAGGATGTGAATAGGAATAGAGAATGATCGATTCCTTGTCAGAGAGATACCCAAAAGTGGTCCATAATGCGATCTGTACATGGATATTTCTAAATGCGATGTAATAGCATGAATTTGTGTACAACCTAGTGATTTATCAGTAAGGTCATAGATACTGTAAAATACTGCACAGTAAGGGAAAATCTTTGAACTAGATGTGCAAACAGCAACCTGAACAGATCCTAAAACCACAGTGTTAGGTAAAAAAGGAAAAAAAGAAAAAGAAACAAAATGAGATCTTGAAGCCAATACTTCTTGGTAAATTAGAAATACAATAGCATAAAATAACACAAAGGACTTAGCAAGGGTAAAAGCATGCTTAAAAAGATAAGTATATGAAAGTAGATGACTTTTGGGGGAGAAAGGAGAGAACCGAAAAGAAAAATAAATGAAAAAAGTCTTTCTATTATTGCCTCAAAGAGAGTGTACATGTGAGACTTGGTCAGATCTCGACATATCTAAAGGCTGAAAATTTGGGTGAAGCAATGTATTTTTTTTAGTAGAGAATAATTTCATATGTGTGAAACCTGGAAACTCTTTCACATTTTGTATGCAATTAATGCATGTCCCTTTTTCCTTCCTTCAAATTATACACAAAATCTACCTACACCTTTCCACCTCCACTGCTACCACCTTGGCTCAGTGGGTGGTCTTCTGTTGCCTTGTCTAATGTAATTATCTTCTAAGAAGTTTTCCTGCCAAGATGCACCACCAGCTCTCCCATTCCCAAACAAATCGCCGAACCAAAGCCAAAGTAATATTTTAAATACCTAGTTGGGATGATATCACTGTTTCAACTAAAAAGTCACCAGTGGTTTTCTATCTAACAGAATAAAACCCTCGAAGATGTATGTCTGTCACTGCCCCCCCCCACCCCCCAGCACACCTCTTAAGATCTCAAATCCTACCTCAGGGCCTTTGCACTTGCTGTTTTTTTTTCTGTCTGGAACCTTAATCCCTTCTTAGGTGTCTTCTCATCAGAGAAGACTTCCCTGATCACTCTCTAAAATAGTAAAGGTGTTCAGGAAATGCCACCCCCAAATATGCCACTTTGGACTCAGGGCACTTAGGGAACAGCAAATGCCTTGAGGGGCTTTTCTGTGAACTTCCTTTATCTGCCTAAAGACAGATATTTCAAAAAGATCTCAGTTGTCATGAATCCCGTCCCCAGGAATCTCATCAACCAGGGAAGATTCAACTCACCTCCCAGGAGAGGAGACTGGGGATTGACCCCACACCCAGACAGACTTCAACACAGGATACCACCTGTTCTTCTCAGGGTCTATTCATCTTTTCCAGAAATTATTCCCTCTCCCCTAAGTTGCCTACATCCCTAACCTCTCTCCCCTGTAAGCTTTTCCATCTCAGTGGGTTGGTAGATATTCAGTGTTTTTCCCTGTGATGCCCCCATGCACATGATACATCTTTATTCTTGTTAATCTGCCTACAGTCAATTATTTCAGACTCAATTACCAAACCCTTAAAAGCTAGAGGGAAAGTTTACCCTTCCTTAAGACAGCAAATTCCCTTTTCTCCACCCAGATTGATTCCTCTTATCCTATTTTATTTTTCTTCATGGCATTTATTTGTTACCAGATACCTCTATCCCATTAGAAAGTAAGTACCTTGAGGATAGGAATGTCTTTCTGTGTCTACTCAATTTTCAGTGCACTCAGTAATACTAGTTGAGAGGATAAAACAATGAATGAATGAATCAAGGAGAAAGAGAGAGACATAAGACAAGCAGACAGAGAAAGAAAGAAGACAGGAACACTCTGGTGGACCCACCACACTTGAAGATTTTTCTGTGAAGTAGAAATGATTCTTGTGACAAATCTTTCATCCTTCTTTCCTTGCAGACTTCCTCCCCTGGCTTTCCTTCAGGTTTGATGATTGACCAAGTAGCAGCTGCGATATGGGATGGAGGCATATTCTGACTCTGCTCAGAGAGGGCCACTTCCTTGTGATATGGGTGACATTTTGACTTATTCTTCTGTAAGTGATTCTTTTTCTGTACATGTTCACTCCTACATGCTCATATCTACCTTAGAAAAAGGAAAAATGGGATTTTAAAAATGACACTTTATGAGATTGCCATTTTCCTCTGTGATATTCTTCCCCAAGACACATAACTTGAGTGTAATTATGAGAAAAATATTAGACAAATACCAATTGAGGGATGGTCTACAAAATATCTGACCGGTAGTCTTTAAAACTGTCAAAGTCATGAAAAATGGGGAAAACCTAAGGAACTGTCACAATCAAGAGTAGCTAAAAGAGACATGAGCTCTAAATGTAATATGAGATGCTGGATGGGATCCTTCAACAGAAAAAGGATATTAAGGGAAGAATTAGAAAACTTGAAAAAGTGAGGACTTTAGTTAATGACATATCAATTTGGTTGACGAATTATAAGCAATGTGCTGCACTAATGTACAGTGCTAATACTGGGGGAAACTTTAGGGTTGGGGTAGCATATGGGAGCGCTCTCTATACCATCTTCACACTTTTTCTGTACATCTAATGATGTTCTAAAATAAAAAGATTATTTTAAAAAGTTGCTATTCCTCAAATTTATTAGTGCTCTACATAGCGGGGCAAAGGAATTGCTTCTGGAGATATGTCATGTTTAGTGAAACACTTCGTCACAGTTCAGTACCCCCTTCCCTTTCCCGTTACTGCTAAGCAAGGCAGGTAGATACAACCTGTCGTTTCTCATGAAGGAAATCCCTTAGTTGTTTAATTAGCTCTGTATCACATATAGCCTGAGGATTTACACGTTTGCCATGTTTAGGTTTCAGCTTGGAGCTCAGTCCTGTTATTTTAAGATTCTTGGCCGTTAACTGCAAAGGGGAAGTGAAAAACACCTTCATTTTTTATAACAGAACGTGTTTTAACAAAAATAATTTACATGAACATGAGCCAAGGGACAAAGCCTAGGAAGTCAGCAGTCCTGTGCAGAGAAACGTCTACATGGCATTTCCTTATTTTAAGAAAATCTTTTTATATAGACTATTTAAAGAAGGATAGTTTCCCTCTCATTTCCTCCTCTAAAAAATAATATACTTGAACACTGGATCAGGCCTATTTTTAAGGGGCCACTGATAGAAATGAATTGCTCTTGGCTTTCAACTCTGAGATCTGCCTTCCCCAAGTTCTTCTCCAGCCCACATGCTTTTTTTTCTTTTCTCTTGGTGGGTGATTTCTATTAGGGTTTTCAAGTATTCTCTATTTAAGAAGGCAAATGCCTTTAGGAAGCTTCAAGAGTTATTAATAAAATAATAATTCAAATAAGAGCTATAAGCCAGACAATTTACATGTAAAAAAATGGAGGCCAGGATGCCTATTTTTTAAGGAGGTCATGAGAGTACAAGGAAAATTGCATAAATCAAGAAAAGGCAATGCTAATTAAGACCAATGGAAAATGGCTGCTTATCATGAAAAACAAATGGGAAGATGTATTTCTCGGGAGTAAGAGTTTCAAGAAGTAAGGAAATTGACTAATTAGAAGAAGCTGCAGATTTACTTTGCAAAATGAGAATATACAGAAATAGCAAAACTTAGGCCTATTTTGTAATAAGTCTACCACAGATGTAGTAAATAAGGTGTGAGCGTGTATTCTGTAAGTATACGTTCTGTATATACACATATCTGTTCTACATACACATTGCATGTCAGATCATATTGGGTGCTAGATCTTTCTCTCATGCAAGTGTAAAGCAAATGTTATAAAAGCAACACCCCTGTACTCATCACACAATTTAAGTGAGATCCCCTCATCCTTTCACTGGTGGTCATCACTATTCTAAATTTTAAAGTTATTTGTTCCTGTTTTCTTTACAGTTACTACCACACACAAATATATCTCTGAACAATATATTTTCAGTTTTTTTTTAATTTTTGAATTTATTTAAATGGAATTAGACTGAATAACTATTCCTCCCATCCAAGTACTAACCAGGCCCGACCCTGCCAAGACCAGATGAGATCGGGCGCGTTCCGGGTGGTACGGCGGTAGACCTGAATAACTATTCCCATGACTTTTTGAACTGAAAGATAAAAGCATTTATTTTATATGTTATATTATGATAAGATGTTTTAAAATGTTCATGTTTATGACTTTTAAAAATGATCTTATAATCAGTTCCACATTTAGTTACTAGTAATCCGAAAAGTTGGCCTATATGGTACTCGTTTTTTGAAATTGTTGATAATGTTCTTTATTGTCTTTTATGGAGCTAATTTTCATATATGTTCCCCAAGAGCTGGAAAAAAATCCAAATTCTTGAAATGTTGAGTGCAGCGCTGTATGTAGGTCCATTCGATCACGCTTGTGAATTATGCTACTCAAATGTTGTATAGACTTTCTAAACTTTCTTGTCTGCTTGATCTATCAATGATTAAAATAGGTATGCAAAACTTTTCCAACATGGTTATCGTTTTATTATTTTCTTCTTGTAGTTCTATCAATTTCTGCTTTATACATTTTGAAGCTGTATTCTTAGGTCCATATAAATTTAGAAACATTGTCTTTTCTTAATTAAATTATGCTTTATTATCATGTAATCTCCAGTAATAAATTTTGCTTTAAAGGCTACTTTATGAACATTATGTGACTAAACCAGATTTTTAAAAATAATATTTACCTGGTCCAACTTTTTTTACCTTCAGCATTTCTCTTTTGTTATGTTCTAGCTATGCCTCTGTGAAGTCTAAGATAATCTTATTTTTAAAGTTAATATGATCATCTTTGCCTTTTAACTAGAATGTATAATATTAATATTTAATGTAATTAATTTTATTTTGAAATGTATTACTACCACAATAGTCTGTGCTTCCTAATGGTTCTGCTTTTTCTTTTCCTTTTGTTTCTTCCCTCTTGTCCTCTTTGAATTCATTGAGTTGTCTTTTTATTTTTTCAGTTTTCCCCTATTCTAGTCGGAAATATATGTTTTTATTTTAGGATTATTCCAAAGTTTGTTGTTATCAACTTAGGAATATTGAAAGTTAATTCATATCTTTATCTCCTCCAAAAACCAAAAAGACCTTAGAATGCTTTAAGCCAATTTGCTTTTCTGATGTATATGGTGTATTAGTCGGGGCTCTCCAGAGAAACAAAGCTAGTAGAATATTTAGATCTAGTGCTTGCTTCGGGAGCGCATATACTAAAATCGGAACGATACAGAGAAGATTAGCATGGCCCCTGTGCAAGGATGACACGGAAATTCGTGAAGCATTCCATATTTTCTAAAATCAAGAAAGAAAAAAAGTATTTAGATCTAGATTTAGATCTAGATATATAGATAAATAGATGAGAGAGGATTTATTATAGGAACTGGCTGTGGCAATTATAGAGGTTGAGAAGTACCATCATAGGCCGTCTGCAAACTGGAGAACCGAGAATGCTGGTGGTGTGGCTCAGTCTCAGCCTGAAGTCCGGAGAAACAGAGGAGCCAGTGGTGTAATTTTCAGTTCAAAGCTGAAGATCTGAGAAACTGGGGGCCTGCCGGTGCAAATCCTGGATTCTGAAGGCCAGAGGACATGGACTTCTGATGTCCAAGGGCAAGAGAAGGTGGCTATCCCAGCTCTAGAAGACGCAGCAAATTCACCTTTCCCCTGCGCCTTTATCCTCAATGCATTGGATGGTGCCTCCCCACCGTGGGTGAGGGCAGACCTTCCTTATTCAATCCACTGATTCAAATGCCAGTCTCTTCCAAAAACACCATCACCAATGCACCCAGAAATAATGTTTTACCAGCAATCTGGGCATAACTTAATCCAGTCAAATTGACAACTAAAACTAGCCATCACAAATGGTATTCATGATCAATATTTTAATTCTTTTTCTGTAGAAGTAATCAAATTTATATTTTACTTTTAATCTAGGAATACATTAAGAGGATTCAAATATTTAAAACTGTTGAAAGATACTGTGAAGAGTCTTTCCATTCCAGCTACCCAATTTTCTTGTCTGGAGGCCACCAATGTTAGTTTCCCACGTATCATTACAGAGATTTCTTAAGCAGATGAATATATCTTTTTATGCAATTTTATTCTGTTCTTTTTTTCTTTCCTAATGTTCCAAGATTTCTTTTATTATTTTATTTCTATTTAGAGGACTTCCTTTAAACCATTATTTTATAGTAGGTCTGCTGGTGAACTGTCTCTTTGTTTCACTTCATTTGAGAATATCTTGATTTCACCTTCATATTTTCACAGGTAATTTTGGGTTGAGCATTATTTTCTTTCAGGCCTTGAAAAATGGGCCAGTTCCATTTGGCCTCCATAGTTTGGATGAGAAATTAGCTGTAATTTTTTATTTTTCCCTTATAGTAAGGGGTCACTTATCTCTTGCTGCTTTATGATTTTTTTCATTGTCTTTTGTTTTCAGGAGTTTGACTATGATATGTCTTGGTGTGATTTCTTTGAGTTTATCCTTTTTGGATATTAAATATGTAGGTTTCTGCTCTTTGCCTCATTTGGGAAATTTTTGGCCATTATTTATTTGAATATTTTCCAGCCCCACTCTCTTTCTCGCCTTCTGGGATTTCTGTAACACAAACCCCTAGATCTTTTTCTATAATCTCACATGTCCTGGGGCTTTGTTCTTTTTTATTCTTTCAGTCTATTTTCTCTTCATTGTTTAGATTAAGCAGTTGCTACTTGTATATCTTCAACTGTGCTTTTTTGTTAATCTACATTTTTGGCATTTTCAGATTGCCAGTTTTTTCAGCATCCACTCTGGGAAACACGAGGCAAGAAGGAAACTTAGGGCTCTCACTGTGTTGTCCCTCCAATCCTGAGGTGACTGAAGAAGGCTGATCTGCCTTCTTCCCTCCACCATTCAGAGTCTTCTTACGTTTATTTTTTATATAATATCCAGGGTTTTTAATTGTATTTAGCAGGAGGAACAGGGAAAAGTACATTCACTCCACCTTCAACATTATTATTTTATATAGTTAATGTCTCTTTAAACATGATTTCTTTGCTCACCGTTCATTCTTGCAAGTCAAACCATACTTCTAGGATCATTATCTGAAGTATACCCTTCAAAAAGTTCCTTCACTTAACTGTTGGTAGTAAACTCTCTCATTTTTGATTGTATGAAATGACTTCCCCTACCCTGCTTTTGGAAAAAATCATTTTGTTTTGTATACCCTTATATATTGACGGTTATTTCTCTCAGCAATTTGAAAATATTTCTCTGCTGTCCTCTGGCTTTCAGTGCTGTTGTTGATTAGTCAATTGCAACAATACTTTTCATGTCACACATCCTTTCTCTCAAAGGATCCTTTATTTGTTATTGTTGATCTGTAGTTTTCCCATGATGCATCCATGTTTAGATTTCTTTGCTGATCGCTTGTTTAGCTTCCTGAATCTGAGCATTTGTGTCTTTCATCAATTCTGGAGAATTCTTGGCTAATATCTCTTCAATATTACATCTTGTCCATTTTCTCCATTAGTTCCCTTTTTAAAATAATACTTTTAAAATATGTCCCTTTAAAAAAAATAATACTGTTTTAAAAAGTCATTTCACCAGATTCACTGTCTGGTAAGGGTCCACTCTCTTATTCATAGGTGGTGCCTTCTGGCTATTTCCTCACATGATGGAAGAGGGAAGGCAGCTGTTGGAGGCCTTCTTTATAAAGGCACAATAAATGACACAATAACATCAAGCAATGGTCCTCTTATTAGATGCCTTTTAGCCTTCGGAGTCTGCCTTCCAGGGATCTCAAATTCTGATATAGTTCATTTCTTTGTTTCTCTGTGCTGCTTTCTTGGTGATTACTTCAGATCTATCTTCTAGTTCATGAACTCTGTTGTTAATCATATCTGATACAATGTATAACATGTCCAATACATCTCTAATTTTACTTAGTATCCTTTTTATATTTTTTCAACTTCGCTTTTCTTCAAACCTCACCGTGTATTAAAAAGATAACTATTGAAGATAGAAACTTCAAGCATATTAAGGTAAAAAGAGTAGTGTAGTAAAGCCCTACGTACCCATTATCCAGCTTCAACAATGAATAACGCATACCTAATCTTGTTTCCTCTGTATCCTACCCACTTCCTCTCCCTCTCTGGATAATTCTGAAGCAATCCCTGACATCATATTATTTTATCTGTCATAGTTCAATATGTATGACTAGTAGATAAGAATTCTCCTTTAAATAAACAATACTACCATTTTCATACCCCCTAAAAGTCCACTGTAATTCTTTAATATCGAATAGTCTTTAAAAAATATTTTATGGTTTGTCAATCATACTTTTAACATCCTCCTTTATTTCTTGAACACAGTAAACACATTACATTTATATATATATATATATATATATATTTTTTTTTTTTTTTAACAATATATTTAGTCCTTGTGGGCCTGATATATTTTTTTTTCTGCTGGCTCTTGCTCATGGTAGTTTGTTCCCTCATGCATTTGTATTTTTTTTTTTTTTTTAATCATGAGCTTATGGTTATTGGAACTCTGCAGGAATTCTTTGAGATTTCGGTTAATGTTCATTTCCCCAGAGATTTGTGATTGCTTCTTCTAGGCACCTGGAGCACACCCTAGTCTGTAATTATGAGAATTCAATTCTCAGGTTGAGTTTTTCAGCCTATAGTGTAAATTTCACACCAAGTTTATGCGACTGTCACCTTGTGATTCGTAATTCTTAGAAGAGCCTTTATTTTCTTTCCTAACTCACAGTCAAAGCTGAGAGAGTCAAGACTTTTTATGGTCTATTGCAGCTATATTAATTTTATTTTTACATCTTGCCTTCACTGAGGCTGTTGCTTTTTGTGGAACTGGCTCTATGCAAGGGTCTCAATTTGCATAAACCCAGGCATTGTCTCTTGTCCTTCTGCACATGCCTGTACTCTGTTTAAGAACTCTTCATGATCATGTATTGGCATATTTCCTGAAGACAAGATTTATTTCAATGCTCAGTTATGGCTCGGATTCATGCCTTTTTACTACTTTTATCTGTGAGGATTTCTTTCGCTGTGTTCTACTCAGCTAAGCATTTAAAATGGTATTATAAATATTTCATTCAGCACTCTAAGATGTTCTGTACTGGGATTCCTCAGAATATCTGCTGTGCTGCCATATTCCTACAAAGAGGAAGGAGTCCAAATTATTATGACTTAATCTCCACCTGATTTGCTGCCAGAAATTAGCCTTCATCACAGCGTCTCCCAGCTGTTCCTGAGAGCTTCCCATTCAGGGAGCTATCTGATGTTGTTTTAGTTTATTTGGGTGTTCTAACAAAATACCATAAACTGGGTAGCTTATAAACAACAGAAATTTATTTCATAGTTCTGGAGGCTGGAAAGTTTAAGATCAAGATGACAGCAGATTCAGTGTCTGGGATGTTAACAGTGGAGGGTATACGGGTTCTTGGCGTTTTGAACAAAGAATTGGACAAAACACACAAACACAGCAAGGAAAGAAGAAAGAGTTTTATTGAAAATGAAGGTACACTCCACGGTGTGGAAGCGGGTCTGAGCATGGGGGCTCAAAGGTCCTTTGCAGAGTTTTTGTGAGTTTAAATACCCTCTACTTGGGGTACACCCTATGTAAATGAAGAGGATGAAGTAAAGTTACAGTCGTTTACGGCATTCACCCTATGGAGAGGACATTTCCCGTTATAGCTGAAGTGTGAATTGGCCTTATGTTCCCTGCCTCCAGACGCTATTTTCCTGCCTCAGTGAGGATCTGCTCTCTTGTTCATGGATGGTGACTTCTGGCTATTTTCTCACATGGTGGAAGAGGGAAGGCAGCTGTGAAGGCCTCCTCTATGAAAGCACTTACCTCATTCATGAGGGATCTAGCCACTTCCCAGAGGCCTCACTCTTCATACCATCACATTGGTCATTGGTTTCCACATACGAATTTTTCAGAGGACACAGACATCCAGACCATAGCAGATTGGTTCTTCGGTTCAGATCCTCTCTGCTCTGTTCGGTCTTTCTCATATGACCCTCAGGCCTCTGCTGCTTGTAACGCTCATTAGTTTATCGTTCTGCTTGGCAAAGTTGTCCTTTGTTGGTGACCACCATTGTCACTACTATTTTTAGCAAGATACATTGTTCTTTTCTTTTACTTCAGGCCAAATATTGGATAGGCCCTTGTCCTCAATTCTCTAAAGAATAGAAGGTATGAGAGAGAGAGAGAGCATTGTAACACAGAAATGAGCTTGCAAATGCTTCCCAGGGCCAGACCCATACTCAGGACTTCTGATGGACCTGCCTCTCCACATCTCTCCTACCTTATCATGATGAGTTTACTTTTTAACACCTGAGTTCCTCTACTCACTGATGGGCTTTGGAGTCTAGGCTAAAATTCAAAGTCCTAAAGAGGGGAATTTTTATGCTCCCTTGCCCAGGCCAATTCTCACCTTACCAGTCCCTATTCTCTTTGCCAGGAATGACTGCCACTCATAGTCATTGCAGAAGGATGGCTTGTTTTGTTTTTTCCCAAAAAAGTCCAGAGAGATATGGCCCTAACCTGTGCACGTCAAACTAGTCTGAGACTTGTGTATTTTTTTCAAGGTCTAGGTCTTTGAGGGACATTTGTAAGACTTCACCAATTCATCTCAGTTTAGGCTGCACTAAGCCTAGTCCACATAACAACTTAGATAATAAACATACACAAAATTGCCCAAGAAACACATAATCCAAAAGAGGCACAAAGCAGTCTAAAGCTGTATTTAGAAGAATAACTGCTCTCTAAGGGACAAATAATCCTCAATGATGCAGCTGTCTTTAAAACATCTACCCAGTTTACCTGACTACACAGAACACTAAATATTCAGGTTACTTCACTGCATTTAGGTTTTTTCCATAAAGAACGGGCAGTAATATGCCTTTCATTTGCAAAACTAAGAGTCCCCAGAGTGGTGGGTGTTCCAAAAAAACAAATGGAAGCAATAATCAGCCTCAAAAGTAAACTCAAATCTCCACCTGGGACCTCCTCCCAGACACACACTTATGAACCAGAAGCTGCCACTCTTTAAATGGCAATTTTTCCTGCTACTGCATTCATGTATTTTCTAATAAGAATGTTTCATCTACTATACCACTCACCTACCTTTCTTAAGCCATCACAAAGCACAGTGTCTTACTCTTAGTGGATACTTGTTAAATGTAGGTTGACTGTCACATAGTACTATCAATGATTCTTAGTGAGCATGATTTGACTCACACATGTCTCTTCCTACTGTGCTATGGAAATGAGGGCTTTGATGCAGGGTGGGGTTGAGATCTCATTGCAATATGTGGCAATGGAGATTTTAAATCCCTGCTCTGCCAAATATTGTGTGACCTTGGGTAACTTATTTTTTCTAAGCTTCAGTTTCCTTGTAAAAATGTTAATATATTAAAGAACTCGGCAAAGTGTCTGAACGAATATTAACACTCTCCTGTTTTTGCTTCTACCACCTCTCAGCCTCAACATGCCAGAGGCCACCCTGACTCCAGGAATGACCAGAAGAAGATGCAGCCCAGACCATTCATGCCGATGTTTCTGAGCTCTAGAGATTATTTGTAGTTGTACTGGGACATCCCAGTTCAGATATGCTACTAGCGTTCTTTGACTCCTGCAGGCATTTGTAGGCTATTCCCTAGAGCTAGAGAGGGATCAAGAAAGGCTTGAGCCCTATTGTTACAGGAAAGCGGGTCCTGATCCAGACCCCAAGAGCGAGTTCTTGGATCTCACACAAGAAAGAATTCAGGGTGAGTCCACAGAGTAAAGTGAAAGCAAGTTTATTAAGAAAGTAAAGGAATAAAGAGTGGCTACTCCAAAGACAGGGCAGACCCAAGAGCTGCTGGTTGCCCAGTTTTATGGTTATTTCTTGATGATATGCTAAACAAAGGGTGGATTTTTTATGCCTCCCATTTTTAGACCGTGTACGGTATCTTCCTGACATTGCCATGGCATTTGTAAGCTGTCATGGCACTGGTGGGGTGTAGCAGTGAGGACAACCAGAGGTCACTCTAGTTGCCATCTTGGTTTTGGTGGGTTTTAGCTGACTTCTTTACCGCAAACTGTTTTATCAGTGAGATCTTTACGATCTGTATCTTGTGGCCAACTTCCTATCTCATCCTGTGACTTAGATGCCTTAACCATCTGGGAATGCAGCCTGGTAGATCTCAGCCTCATTTTACCCAGCTTTTATTCAAGATCGAGTTGCTTTGGTTCACAGCCTCTGACACTATTATTGTGTATTTTTCAAACTGTTAGTTTTGACTCAGTGAATCCTGACATTAATTTAGTGAATAACTAACACTTTGAAAAATTATGTAGTACAATAAAAAGAAATATGCATAAAGGAAATCATGTTTTGTGAAACTTTTGTATGAAATGAGTCACATTGTGTATACAATGTATTTCTTATATGAAAGTTGTTAGAATCAAAATGGAGTTGCTAATGTTAAAACCAAACCAAACCAAACAGCCCTGACAAATAGAGCCAGGGAAGGCTATGAAGAGAGGGTTCTTATGACTGGTAACAAAAACTGTCACAAAAGACTGCAAAAACTACAACCTTGCACAAAGGACATTGCCAACTTACAGAAAATACTTCTGCAGGGTTATCTACTCATCAGCTGCCTGTCCGTCTGGCCTGGCACCACTCTTGTTATCAATCTTTGGAGCCAAGGATAATTATTTCAAAACAATAATGTAATAATCCTCCTCATTTTTCCTTTAATAATATTTGTCTTCCTTTACCTCCCTGAATACATACATAGTTTACTTTGGTTCACATAGTGCCATTGTAATACTCTACTCACAAAGAAACATTGCTTTCTTTTAGAGAGCCTCTCTTGGTTTGTTATTTAGATTGACACTTGCTGTGGATTGCAGTCAAAAAATCTGAGAGACATTACTCTTAAGAGTTCTGATAGGTCAGGTGTGGTGGCTCACACCTGTATACCCACGGCTTTGGGATGCCAAGGTGGGAGGATCCCTTGAGGCCAAGAGTTCAAACCCAGGCTGGGCAACATAGCAAGACCCAATCTCTATCAAAAATTTTAAAAATAGCTGTGTATGGTGGCATGTGTTTGTAGTTCTAGCTACTCAGGAGGAACTAAGATCACATCACTGTACTTCAGGCTGGGTGACAGAGGATGTCTTTAAAATAATACTAATAATAATTAATAATACAAAGAAAAGATTAAAAAAGAGTTCTGATAAAATAAAACATTGTCTTAATTATATGAAAATAAAGTAACATAAATGAATATTCTCAAATAAACAAAAATAGCATGCCCTGTGTGGTAAATGGATTGCTCTATTAGCCCTAATTATTTCCCATTCTGTAGACAGATCCTATGCCACAAAATTTGTAGTACATTTCCATTCTAACCCTGCTCTCAGTTTTGTGACTTGACTTAGCAAATGAGATGTGAGCAGAGGCTTGAAAAGCACTTGTGAAGTTAGGCTTGCTGTTGTTCTAGCCTTTTGCCATCATTGTGAAAACATGTCCAGGCTAGGCTGCTGGAGGATGAGAATCATATGATGCAGAGATGGGGACAGAGATGGCCCCCATCTCCCATCCAAGGTTATCCTAGACCTGGTGGCAGACAGCCAACCTTCCTAGGAAAGATCAGAAGAACCACTCAGCTGAGCCCAGTCCAAATTGCCCAACCTGCTAATCATGAATTAAATAAATCTTTTTATATGCAATGGGGGTTTGTAGTTGTTTGTTATGGAGAATTTTTGTGGCAATAGATAATATATGTATATACCAAATAAGATATTTAGCCATTAATAAAATTCATAATAATAATCATTATAATAAAATATGTATCAATTTTCCAAAGACCATCTCACTTGATAGTCTCAAAAATAACTTTTCATCTTTGTATTTCACATTTTACTGGGTGCTGCATATAGGGCCTTTATTAAGAAAAGGGTTTATTTAATTAATTTAATAGAAGACAAGGTGGCAGAGGAAGTAGATCTGCTCAAGTTACTCAACAAGGTTCTGTTACCAGGAGACCTGGATTCAGCCTCCCAAGAATTCTCTTCATCAGAACAATCTGCAAGTTGCTGGCCTCTCCCATCTTTCAAAATGAAAGGCCTGGTTCCTACCCGTTCTTCTGGATCTACCTAAATTTTCATAAAAGTTCCTGAAGGATGTCAATTTGAATAATTAGAATTGACATTTTGCTAGCAAGCAAAATAGAGGCCCTTTCTCAGGAAACCACAATGACACTAATATCCTCCGAGAGCATCCTGTCCTCCAAATAACCTGATTTGTTTTCCCTAAATTTGCATTTTCATTTGATCATTAAAAATTTGTTATTCTTTGTAATAGGAAACCTGTGATTCTCTTGAAAAGTATGGCCTGTTGGTTCTCACAACAAAATTCTGGTGCCGTTTGCTCACTGGACATTCAGTTCCCGGGGGTCACCAGTTATTTAATAAAAGCCTGCCCCTAAGAAAGAGTATTCACCCCAGCCAATGATGAAGGCATGGAGAATGGCAAAGTGGTAGTGGAAGTGGGAGTGGGGAGCTTTAAGTTTGCTTTTATGGAATCCATATCAGTAGGTTAAGAAAACAACATTATCTGTATTAATAGAAGTGTGTGTGTGTGTGTGTGTGTGTGTGTGTGTGTGTGCATTTGTGTATGTTGATGAGGGAGAAATAGAAAATAGGGCAAAATCCTTGAAAGCCACCCCTTGGTGCCAGCAACCTCCATCAGACAGACCTGATAATTTGTGAATCAAAAATAGCCCCAAATACCCTGAGTCTTATTGATAACGGGGCCAGTAAGCAACAACTTTACCTATGCCTCAGGTGTATTTCAGTGTCAGATTTATGATCCCAAAAGAAGGCACATTTCTTTTGGGTACCTGCTATGTACTGGTCAGTGTTTTGGGTGCTGGAGAGATACAGACAAATGACTCAATCCTAAACTAGGATGATCTAGTCTGCAATTGTTTGATGTGTTTGTGACACCAGGAAAGAGTTCAATGTTTTGGCTCTAAGATGACTTAATTTCAATAGCCCAATGGGGCTTCCTCCTCCCCTTAAAATTTCTCTGCTTGATAGCTTGGTTGTTCTTTATATCTTCTGGTGGTTTTACTTTGTGTTGTTCTGGGGTTTGCATTTGGCACAGATAATATTGAATAAAAATATTCATTAAATAAATGTCAAAATGATAATATTTTTAATGCCTCAAAATGAGTGATCAGTTGGTTTAACAGAATTCACAGAAGACAGTACATGTGTTTGTGTGCACACAAAAATACGTTCAAGAATCAGATCTGATATATATATTTAAGAACCTAAGTACTTTTTCAGCTAAGGATCTTAGGTTGACTTGAATCAAAATTTGACTTACATTTCCCCTACTGCTTAAAGCTTGGTTTGAAGCTTAAGTACTTGGGTTCAAAGTACTTCAGCTTTTAACAAAATCCTTTGGATTCCATCAAAATAGTAGATTAAGTATGCTTACCTCAATCCCCTGCTTCACAAAAATGCCACTGCAAATCTATTTTAATGAATGTTTCACATAAGTCGTTCCTTGAGAAATGATTAGTAGGAAAGTTTAAGATAATCAATTTTAGCTAGACAAACAAACCATTTTTGAACAAGTTTTTCTTTTTTCCTACATGAGCAAGGATTTCAGGAATCAATTTAAACAAATTTAAAATAAGATTTGTTTTTATTAAAGGTGTTTTTTAAATCAACCTTGAAATCATGTAAGTTATAGGGAAACGAAATTAAAAAAAAAATTTGCCCTTATGGTGCAGTTAAGTATTTTTTAAAATATGTTAGTTTCTTTTTGTGTTGTTATACATTTATTATTTTTATGAAATAAATTGGCACTCATGATGAGAGGTCACTCTTTAGCGATGCATGATCACATGATCACCAATATTTATGACTGAGTGTTACACACATGTATCATTCACATTCTTATTTAGGGTTAGATTTATTTTTACTCTAATTGCCTGTAATCTATTCAACCTCATAGAATTCAATGGGATTAAAAAATAATCAACATAGATATTTCTTGAATATAGGTGTGATGGTTAATACTGAGTGTCAACTTGATTGGATTGAAGGATGAAAGGATTGATCCTGGGTGTATCTGTGAGGGTGTTAACATTTGAGTCAGTGGGCTGGGAAGGGCAGACCACCCTTAATCTGGGTGGGCACCATCTAATCAGCAGCCAATGCAGCCAGCCAGAATATAAAGCAGGCAGAAAACGTGAAAAGACTAGGCTGGCCCAGCCTCCCAGCCTACATTTTTCTCCCACGCTTGATGCTTCCTGCCCTCGTACATCAAACTCCAAGTTCTTCAATTTTGGGAATCGGACTGGTTCTCCTTGCTCCTCAGCTTGCAGATGGACTATTGAGGAACCTTGTGATCATGTGAGTTAATACTTAATAAACTCCCCTTTATATGTATGTATCTCTTATTAGTTCTGTCCCTCTAGAGAACCCTAACACAATAAGTGTAATTTATCATCATGTATTCCAAAATTATCTTCTATTTTTGAGGAGACCAGAGGGCTGTGTGATAATACAGAAAAATGTAACTATAATATCACAGAGCTGGAAAGAACTCAACATAATCCAAGTCCTTCATTTAACACAGGAAATGACTTGACTCATAAAGGTTAAGTGATTTGTTGACCACTCTAACCTCATATACCAAGACAATTTCAGAAATGTTCGGCCTGGAGATGGCAGTTGGAGTAACTTACACATAATTACCTCTGCTGAGTTTTTTAACCAAACACTTTCGAACTTTCCAGAGTACAATACAAGGGCAAAATGTCAGGCTACACATGGGAGCTAGGGGTGGGTAGTTTGGCTGATGTGTAACTATGATGTGTTCTTCATTACTCACATAATGAATGTGCCAAGAGCTCGCACCAGAAACTGAGAGGAAGGAGAGGATGAGGATCAGAAAGGAATAGCAAACAACTCCACTGGGGATAGCATGCTGATTCTACACTGGCAAATACTGACATAGAGATCAAACTTTTGGCTAGAAGAATTAGGCGATACTAGTTTCTGAATCAGAGGGTTTCACACCTGAATGCCACTCAAAACCGGGTGTGTAGAATAACCCAGACAGGACTAAGGTTTATGAATACCATTAGTGAGATGCTGAGATAGTGTCCCTGGTTCATGATGAATTATGATAACATTGTGAAAGTTGTCTTCCAGGAGGCTGGCAGTCAGAAAAAGCTTCTTCAAGAGGAATTCCATATTGAAAATTGCCAACATTCGTATGACTAGTTGAATCTGGTTTTGGGGTGAGGAGGCAGTGTATGATGGTAGAAAGGACCTGGGCTTTCAAGGGAATTGAACCTTAACTCCACTGCATGGTGATTGCGTGGCTTGTCTTTAAAATGGGAGTAATGATACTGCTCTGTCAGCATGGTTTTAAGAATTAGATGCAGGTATGTACAAGGTATATAGTCGGTGTTCAGTCAGTGGTAGTCTTTATAAATTTTCCTCCATCTATTTGAGGAAGGACAATAATAGTACATTGGCTTCCATTATTGAGCATTTATTATTATTATGATTATTATTATTTGGGAGACAGGGTCTTGCTCTGTCACTCAGGCTGGAGTACAGTGACATAATCATTGCTTGCTGTAATCTTGAACTCCTGGGCTCAAGTGATCCTCCTACCTCAGCATCCCGAGTAGCTAGGACTATAGGTGCACATCACCATGGTTGGCTAATTTTTTATTTTTTTGTAGAGACAGGGTCTCACTATGCTGCCCAGGCTGGTCTTGAACTCCTGGCCTCAAGGGATTCTCCCGCCTCAGCCTTCCAAAACATACACTGTACCCAACCCTGAACCTTTATTAGATGTCAGGCAAGAACTTAACAAACAGTCTTTTTGAATCTTCACAACAACCCTATGGACTGAATATTATTGACATCATTTTTCATACACAGGAAACTTAGACTCACTAAGTTTATGTAACATACCAAGGTCAAGGACACTTGGAAAGTAAGATACAGAGGCAGGGTTGCAACCGGTGTATCCAGCTTTTCCCTACCATTCCACACTCTCTCTCGTGTCGTTTGGAGTCTGAAGACTGATTCCGCTCCATAGACGGTCCTTCTTTCCATGTCTGTTTAGGCTGAAAAGAAAGATACGTATCATTAACTAATAAAGATGATTTTAAAATCTCAGAACTGTTTAAAATGAATGCGTGGGGGAAAAGGTCCAAATTTCCACAGTTTTTAGTTGAGACCCTCAGAAACCAAGGTGAAACTAAAAGACAGTGAGACAGATGTTTGACTTTTAGCTTAAACAGTGAAATTTTTAGTGCTCTGTTTGTTTTAGAACATATTTTATAGCAATTGCTCTCAAAAGATGAGAAGACAGAAGTCTCTTTTAGTGTTTGGAAGCACTTATTTTTTTCATTTTCTTTTGAATTACAATGTTACAATTGGCTTTAGAAGATAAAGTTTTTAAGACATTTATCCTAACTTCCGATGTTAGCTGATTTCCATTAGCTCTGCTGCAGTGAAATTCAGGTAAACACAATTTTATTTCATGCCTTCCGTTAACAAAGTCAAAAGATTAAAACATACAAGGTCATGTTCCTTTCAGTCTGACAAAGCATTTAGCTTGGGATTGTATTTATTGCCTTGGGATTTTCTTGCTTCTAAAAGATTGTTCTGATTTCTTTGGGTTAAGCTGTCTGGTGACACCTTGTTATCTGAACTTGTAGCTGGAGATGGTGGTTGGTTGTTTTTACACCCCAGGACCGGCAGGGACCTGGCAGGGGGCTCTCCCCTTCTGCCAGGTTCCCTGCCGGTCCTGGGGTGTAAAAACTTTGGGAAAACAGCCTTATAGCAAATCTGCTCACAGCTTAATTAATACAATTGCATCAATTTGTTACCTTACTGATCTGTCCTTTTCTCAGTGTTACTATATTTGGAAAGATAAATTACAACCAGTTAATCCACCAACAAGTATTTTTAGAACATTTTAAAGGGCATCTAGCAAGCTATTGACACCCCGGCAGTTGCAAGGAAGTGTAGCATACTGGAATGAGCAAGAGTTCCTGGTGAAGAAAGTTTGAGTCTGATGCTGATAAGACAGTGATGCTGTAGATCATGCTGGCGGAGGTCATAACCGCCCATTACTGAGCATCTTTCAGTTCTCAGAATTAGAGATAGATCTGTCTCTAAAACTCACACTCTTTCTGACACTACTTTCTAAAACTCACACAACTTCTTGTTAACTGGTGCAGCATCTGTGGCATGGTACTAACTCTTGGGTCACTTACTGTAATGTCACATTGTTAGGAAATAACGTGCATAATACAAATGTGATGCCAGAAGTGTAAGCTACATCCCTTCATCTCTCGAAACTGCATTTTCCTGGGGATGATCATACCTATGAATTTTTTTTTTTTTTTTTGAGGCAGAGTCTCACTCTGTCACCCAGGCTGGGGTGGAGTGTCACTATCTTGGCTCACTGCAACCTCCACCTCCTGAGTTCAAGCGGTTCTCCTGCCTCAGCCTCCTGAGTAGATGGGATTACAGGCACGTGCCACAATGCTCGACTAATTTTTTGTATTTTTAGTAGAGACGGGGCTTCACTGTGTTAGCCAGGTTGGTCTTGATCTCCTGACCTCGTGATCCGCCCACCTCGGCCTCCCAAAGTGCTGGGATGATTACAGGAGTGAGCTGCCGTCAAACCAGGCCTGGTACCAGTGAGATATTAAAGGGTAGTTGTAAGGACAAAGGAAGAGGTTAATGCAATGTGCCAGGTGTATGGAAGATGTTTCATAGTTAGTAGTAATTATTAATGTTATTATTATTACTGGACATAGTCTTGGCCTCTAAGAAGTCTCAGTGATGGGAGGAAAGTTTTAAGAATAAACTTTCAACAGTGACAAGTGCTAGAGAGGAGCCAAAAGTTAAAGGAAATAAGACTCAAGAATATTGCTTTGTTAGCTCAGAGTTTTTGGAAAAGGAACTCAAGGAAGTCATGAGGCTGGGCATGAAGGACTCACTGAAAATTCATACACCTTGGCTGCGTGCGGTGGCTCATGCCTGTAATCTCAGCACATTGGGAGGCCGAGGTGGAGAATTGCTTGAGCCCAGGAGTTTTTTGGTCAGTGTGGGCAAAATGGCGAAACTCTGTCTCCTCTAAAAAAAAAAAAAAAAATTAGCCAGACATGGTGGTGTACATCTGCGATTCCAGTTACGTGGGAGGCTAAGATGGGAGTGAGGGACTTGTGTTAACTTCTCTTCCCAAGTCTAACTTCTCTTCCCAAGTTCACAAGGGGCGTGGTTTTAAAGGCAAGAACTTCCCAATGCCATATCTTCATCCACACACACCCCCATCCGGAAGCCTAGAGTTCTTTGTCTAAATATCGCACTGGTGGGAAAGGTAGACTGTCCAGGTGAGCTCCCTTTGTTTAGAGAGCCAGCGAAAAGCTATGGAAGGACTGTGAGCCGGGCCACCAATCCAACATTAGAGTCAAAAATCCATCACTCCAGAGGAAGTTTGAAAGAACTCCTCTCACTGGACAAGGATTTGAATGGGGCAGGCGTAACTCCCAGATTAAAAGTCCCCCTGCCCCTTACCTGTGCAGACTTCATCTCTGGATCCCTTCCCACGACAGCGTGGGAGTTTCCTCTCTCTCTCTCCCTACTTCTCTTTCTCTCCGCCTAATGAATAGCTTTTCTGCAAAAACTCTTTGGGTCCGATATTTATGTGAAAGAGCCCACTGCACCTCCAGGGCCTCTTCCCCATTCCTGGCGAGGGGAGGGTGCGGGGGCCAAGAGCCTGGAACACCCTGTTATAGGAGGATCACTTGAACCCAGGTGCTTGAGGCTTCAGTGAGCTGTGATTATTCCACTGCACTCAGCTAGGGCAACAAAGCAAGACCTCGTCTCAAAAAATAAAAACAACAACAACAGTAAAAAGAAATTCACACACTCATCCCTGCGCACACAATGCATTAGACAGTGTCCCACAGCATACTCTCTTACTTAACTAGTTTCACACTGGGACTGTGTTAAAACTAATTTCCAAGCCTCCTCTTCCTGGTCTTTGGGTAGCTCCATTTATGTTTCTGGGACAGACTCAGTCCCATTGTTCTCTTCAACTGGTCCTGCTGAAGCTGCCAGGGACGGCTTCTCTTCCACAGAGGAAAGGCTGAATATGTTGAAGCTGCCTTCAGTCTTAGCCTCGGGGTTTGTGAACAGCAAACTCTAAAGAGTTATAGTCCACCAAATGCTGCACAAACAGACTGAATTGATAAGAACTATGTCTCTGTCACGTGTTAACTGTAATGGTCATTGGCTTTGTTGTCTAGTTAGTCGACATTGGACTGAGACACATCCAAATGCTATTTTGCCTCTGCAATTGTTACAGCAAATCTCAGCACTGTACTTGTTTTGGTCTTTGTTAGTTAATAATAAATTTAAATTATGTAAACAAAACTTGCTTCTCTTGAGTATTTCAGCTTTTCTGTCTTTCCCCTTGGCTACTCTAAATCTGCATGAGAACAACACTGAGCCTCAGAAGCCCCTTTATAGAGATATCTCAACTAACACTGCTGAAAAACAGCTCACAGGTGGCATCTACTTATTTGTTTTTCATATCAAGTTTAAAAAATACGTAATACATGTTCTTAGTAAAGATTTCAAATGGAAAAAAAAAGGGTTAGTGGCTGGGCATGGTGGTGCACGCCTGTAATCCCAGCACTTTGGGATGCCAAGGCAGGTGGATCACCTGAGGTCAGGAGTTTGAAACCAAACTGACGAACATGGAGAAACCCTGTCTCTCCTAAAAATACAAAATTAACTAGGCATGGTGGCGCATGCCTGTAGTCCCAGCTAACTCAGGAGGCTGAGGCAGGAGAATCGCTTGAACCTGGGAGGCGGAGGTTGCAGTGAGCGGAGATCACGCCATTGTACTCCAGCCTGGGCAACAAGAGTGAAACTCCATCTCAAAAAAAAAAAGTTTAGTAGTGGAAAGTAAGTCTCCTTTCCTAATTTACCTTCCTACTTTTTTTTACAGCATGTTTGTGGCATGATATAATCTGATCTGAGTACAGATGAAATTTGAGGTTTCATGTTATGGAAAATGAATGTTTCCAACTTTATCAATGCTGTCACTTTACAACTATGAATACATTGAATTTACTGACAAGAAGTGCTCCCTACACTGAAATATGACAGCAGCAGCAACAGACAGGAAAGAGAGCAGAAAGAGAAAAGAGAGCACATTAGAAGTGAGTAAAGACAACACGTAGAGCTTTGATGTGGCTTCCCAAGACCAACTTTCCCATTTCTAAGCTGGCATGTGGCCAGCTCATGGAAGGACAGATTAGGGAGCTTCATGGTGAAATGTACCATGCAAGTCAGATTCTATCCCTGCTGAACTTCAGAGAAAGCACCACCAAAGTCCTTTGCTCTAGCTTTGCAAAATAATTTCAAAAGTTATTTTGAAAACAAAATCTACACAGTCATCAGGATTTCAGGGAACCATTCATATTTCCCCGGCTGTCCTGTCACTCTTATTACCACTTCACAGCATGAAAACAAGAATAGAAAAATCTGCTTACAATGCCTACGCATAGGTGTTTCTTCCACATGCCTATTTTCATTAAATAAATAAAAGAAAAAAACTAAAATAAAAACAAACAAGCAAATGAAAATTCCAAAAGTCAAAGAAAAGCCTCAAGAGTCCTTCTGTGGCCCAGCATGCTCTCAATTTCTTTCTAAGCCTGACTTCTTGGGTCTCCTGCATTACGGTCAGGGTAAGTACAGAGCAACTGTTTATTTTGTTTTTCACTTACCTGCACAAGAGTATTTTGATGGAGATGGTACTGGAAGTTCAATTAGGCACCCACTAATTAAATATTTCACACAAGGATCATAAAAGGTAAATTTCACTCCTACCTACCACCACTCCCTTAATCTTCCCTAAATTCTCTAGACTTTGGAAATCCCCAGTAGGGCTAACAAACCTGCAAAACCTAATGAAAGCTGGGCGAGGTGGCTCATGCCTATAATCCCAGCACTTTGGGAGGCCATGGTAAGAAGATGGCTTGAGCTCAGGAGTTTGAGACCAGCCTGGGAAACATGATAAAGCTCTGTCTATACAAAAAATACAAAAATTAGCCAGGTGTGATAACACAGGTTTATAGTCCCAGCTACTTGGGAGGCTAAGACTAGAGAATCACTTGAGCCTGGGAGGTTGAGGCTGCAGTGAATGGTGATCACACTACTGCCCTCCAGCCCGGGTGATAGAGTGAGACCTTGTCTCAAAAAATGAAAACCAAGAAAACAACAACAAAAAACACCTAATGAATTTAATCTCAGGCCAACCAGAACCAAGATTTAATCATTATTAATTCATTATTTAATAATATAATAATTTCCATTTCAACAACTCTTCCGCAATGATAAATAAATAGTACACTATGTATGTGTGAGATCAGGTGGTTTCTTCAGTTCTCCACTCCCCATAACCTAGTCCTCTTTTCTTCCCCTATTTTATTTCCGAATGTACTTAAAATTATGTACCTCACAATTTACACATCGCTAGGAACTTAACCTGGGAGAATTTGCCTCTCCAGCAATATGCAGCTCCTGGCATATACATTTTGATACTAAGTTTAATTACTGATTCTAAGTTTCTTGAGGCCAGGATCTGTGTCTTACTTTACATCACATTTGTAACTTCTAAAATGCTATGAATAAATGATGCCCAAGTGAGTGGCTAAAAGGAAATTTAAAACTTGACATATGAAACAACAGATTCAAAATTTAGGAAGGTCTAAGGGGCATGGCAGACCTCAAAGATAATTATAAAAGATTAAAGCAGCAACAGAGAGATAACGTATGCCGATTTCTTAGAAAAGCAACGATCATAAATCGTTAAAAGCTTCCAATAATTTCTTTTTTAAGTGAGAGGACTAAAGCCATCTATTGCTTCTTTCTTTTTAAAGTTTTCAATTGCAGAAATTAGTCTACCTTCCAAACATGTTTGGAATGTATAAGTTGTCCATCTGCCTCTTTTGCTACTTATTGGGAAGAATTATGCTCAGGGTCATTAGAAAAGTAATTCTCTCTTGATTTTTCAAGAAAATCCCAGATGTGAGCTGCACATTGATAACAGAGAATTTAGTTCGCCAGTGAGAGCTGAATTGGACTGTGGTTGTATCTTTAAAGTAGAGTTGTTATACTTCCTTTCTTTTTCAAGGACAAATTCAAATCTCCTCTCTTCTTGTCCATGATAGTTACTCTTATGGGAAACTCCACTAGGATATACATATTTTGAGATGGTAAAACAAAAAAACAAACAAACAAAAAAACAATTGTCCATTCCTCAAGGACCTAAAAATAGAAATTCCATTTGACCCAGCAATCCCATTACTGGGTACATAACCAAAAGATTATAAATCATTCTGCTATAAGGACACATGCATACGAATGTTCATTGCAGCACTGTTTACAATAGCAAAGACCTGGAACCAACCCAAATGCCCATCGATGACAGACTGGACAGGGAAAATGTGGCACATATACACCATGGAATATTATGCAGCCATAAAAAACGATGAGTTCGTGTCCTTTGTAGGGACATAGATGAACCTGGAGAACATCATTCTCAGCAAACTGACACAAGAACAGAAAATGAAATACCGCATGTTCTCACTCATCGGTGGGTGTTGAACAATGAGAACACATGGATACAGGAAGGGGAGCACTACACACTGGGATCTGTCGGGGGGAATAGGGGAGGGACAGCGGGGGGTGGGGTGTTGGGGTGAGATAGCATGGGGAGAAACGCCAGATGTGGGTGATGGGGAGGAAGGCAGCAAATCACACTGCCATGTGTGGACCTATACAACAATCTTGCATGTTCTTCACATGTACCCCAAAACCTAAAATGCAATAAAAAAAGAAAAGAAAAAAAAGCAAAAAACCAATTGACATGTTTTTTGAGAATCCATTTGTGAGATCCAAGTATCAAATTCAACTCTGAAATGTCATACCTGGGGATGCAGTTATTAGTCTCCTAATCTTGCTCTCAAGAATACTACATGAATGATCATGCAAACCAGATGCTGTAAATTAGGCCACATGTTTAAAATGACCAAGTCTTTAGTGGAATTTAATCACTTGAACCCTGGCAGTATTTGAACACCAAACAGTGTGATACAACGGTACAAACTGTCAATCATCAATCATATATACACAGCATCTACTGTTACCTGGATGACACTTTACTCTGAAGTAATAAGTTTCAATTTGTTAATGCAAATGATGGGCCTAATGTATTAAAATAATTTAAAAGTGGGAGAAGGAAATTATTATGGAATATATGTTGTCACATAAATTTTCATTTTGACAAAACTCTGGGCTCCATGTGGGAACTGAGGACAATAGTAATAAGTTCTCTTTAACTTGAGTACAACTTGAGAAGCAGAAACTTTTCCCTAAAAGATAAAGTTCTAAAATAGGTCGGGTGTGGTGACTCACACCTGTAATCCTAGCAGCAGAGATGGGTGGCGGCAGAGATGGGTGGATCACTTGAGGCCAGGAGTTTAAGACCAGCCTGCCCGACATGGTGAAATCCTGTCTCAACTAAAAATACAAAAAGTTAGCTGGGCGTGGTGGTGCACACCCGTAATCCGGCTACTCAGGAGGCTGAGCCATGAGAATCACTTGAATCTGGAAAGTGGAGGTTGCAGTGAGCTGAGATCACACCACTGCACTCCAGCCTGGGCAACAGAGCAAGACCCTGTCCCAAAAAAAAAAAGTTCTGAAATAACTTCCAAAGTAAATACAAAATGGCCACCACAAATCCAAGAGGGTGATGGTATTTCAATTTCTTTTTCTTCTGAAGTACTTGACACGATTCAAAAAAAATGACTACATGTTAGGGACCTTAGAAAAAAATATACATATTAAGAAAAAGCAGAAGGAAATTTGCAAAACTGGAAATAGTCATGTGGGCTGGTAAGATTATAGATGGGCTTTTCTCTTCCAAATTTTATGAATTGTTGTAATAAAAAGAAAATGGCTCTATTGTGCTCTAGGTCTAGGGTTTGACTGATCAGATTGGGAGTGCTGTGGGTACCGGCTTTTCCCCTGGAATGGTCTACTGTCTGCAGAAGCTGCTTTTGAGTTTTTATTGAGTCATAGAGGAAAAGAAGAAGGGATATGTATGTGTGTATTTGTGTGTGTGTGTGTGTGTGTGTGTGTGTGGTTCTTCCTTATAATGCTGCCATTTTTTTCTGAGTGAAAAAGGGTATTTTCTTTGCACACATTCACTTTTTCTCCCTTTGCCTGCTTTCTATGACAACTTGCTGAAAAAAAATATCAAGACAACAAAAGATCTGGTTACAAGTAATTATATTTTCCTGTTCTATGCCATTGTACATGTATAAAAAACAGTCTCATAATCTGCAGAAACGCACATGATTACCACACCCTTCAGCAAACTTCCTAGATCATATTAGTAGGTTAAGGTAGTTTTCAAGTCACTTGCAAAATGCAATTAAAAGATAGCACCTTTTCTGTGTGTAAGCAGTCTTCTACATACAGTCATTCTATGTTAATAAATTTTGGCTTTAAGTGTAAAAGTAAAACTGAGAGATAAGATAGTATTGAATAGTGAATGAAGCAGGAAAATACTTCCAGTTTGAATAAATATTTGTTTGCTACTCTTAGTCTTTCAACATGTCTTAGACTCCGTTTCCCAATCTGTGCAATGGCTATGATGTTCTTACCCTGTCTGTCTCAGAAGATTGATGTGAAAATGCTCTAAAAGTACTGGCTGTTATCAATAGGTCTGTGCAGGTCACTTGGAGTTTCATTTTGTTGTTGTTTTCTCTGCAGACCACAAAGAAAACCTTCAACTCTTCTCTCCAAGAGCGCATCCTATTCACCCAGCCAACCCCCTTTTGCTATATAGCCGACACGCATTTCCTCCTCCCTAGTACTGACATTCACAAGCATGGCTCTACATGCAATCAGCGACCCCTTAAGCTGCCCGGAGATTTATTTTCAGTGACTCATGATGCTCATTGAAACCAGAAGGACCATGATCCAAAGCCACTGTCTCTGGCACTAGGTCTTTCCAGACAAGAGCTCTTTGCTGGCAGTAGGCTGAATGACTCTCTTGCAATAATATTCTATGACCAAAATATCTCTCGAGGACTTTTAGTTTACTGTCATCTGTGGAAAATAGGAAGCCTGCATGAGGCTTTCTAAATTCTTAATGTATTTGGTAGGATTTTGAAACAAGTCACAGCTACAGGCAGAAATAGTAAAAAATGAAGCCCGGGCTGACTTATGAAATACAGGAACTTATAGTTGCCTTGACATCACGTTGCTCCTGGTCTGTCTTTTTAATTTGCCAATACTTTCCCTTAAGCATTTTGATGTGACTTTGCAGTTGTTCACAATAAAATGTAGAGATTTCAGGGTATGTCTTCTTTCCCTTCAAGGATATAGCAATGGAAACTCAGAGAGTTCTTGGTCTATCCATTGGACAAAGAAAAAATTCTAGGGGGTCTCTGAAGTATCAGAGGAGCTAGGAGGTAGGAGGCAGGTATTCAGCAGGGATTTGGTGGAGGAAGGGAAGACCTGGGTGCTGGAGGAGAGAAAGGAGTACAGTGCAAAGAGGGCTATGCACACCCGGTGAGGCACCTTCAGGAACCAGAGGCTGAGCCATGAGAATCACTTGAACCTGGAAGGTGGAGGTTGCAGTGAGCTGAGATCACACCACTGCACTCCAGCCTGGGCAGCAGAGCAAGACCCTGTCTCAAAAATAAAAAGTTCTGAAATAACTTCCAAAGTAAATACAAAATGGCCACCACAAATGCAAGAAGGTGATGGTATTTCAATTTCTTTTCTTCTGAAGTACTTGACGCGATTCAAAAAAATGACTACATTAGGGACTTTAGAAAAAAATATACATATTAAGAAAAAGTAGAAGGAAATTTGCAAAACTGGAAATAGTCATGTGGGCTGGTAAGATTACAGATGGGCTTTTCTCTTCCAAATTTTATGAATTGTTGTAATAAAAAGAAAATGGCTCCACTGTGCTCTAGGTCTAGGGTTTGACTGATCAGGTTGGGAGTGCTCTGGGCACTGGCTTTTCCCCTGGAATGGTCTACTGTCTGCAGAAGCTGCTTTTGAGTTTTTATTGAGTCATAGAGGAAAAGAAGAAGGGATATGTATGTATGTATTTGTGTGTGTGTGTGTGTGTGTGTGTGTGTGTGTGTGTGTGTGTTTAAATATAAACATAAAACAAGGAGAAGAAAAACAGTTGAAAGTATATTTAGTTGAGGGTGGGGACTGAGTTTCTCTGGGTTTAGGGAGTATTAAAGTCATGATAAGGGCCTGGCCAGGTACCTCACACCTGTAATCCCAGCACTTTGGGAGGCTGAAGTGGCAGGATCACCTGAGCCTAGGAATTCAAGACTGACATGGACAACATAGCAAAGCCCCGTCTCCACAAAAAACAAAAAAGTAGCCAGGCATGGTGCACACACCTGTAGTCTCAGCTACTCGGGAGGCTGAGGTGGGAGAATCGCTTAAGCCCAGGAGGCCGAGCCTGCAGCAAGCTGTGATGATACCATCGCACTGCAGCCTGGGTGGCAGAGCAAGACCCTGTCTGTAATAAATGAATAAACAAACTCATGATAGGGCTTGATGGGCTGCGGAAGAGGGGCTAGCATTTCATATTATCCCTATTAAACATTGGCAAAACAGATCCGTTTTCTGTTTACAGAAAGCATATGGGGGAATAGATTATTGTACAATTAGACAATCACCTAAGTTGACCATAATTATAAAATGTGAGAGGTGCTACAATTAAGAGAAAACCACTGGGAGCTAAGAAGAATGCACAGTTATCTCACACCTGGTCTAGTTGTGGGTCAATAAAAGATTTCCTTAAGGTGGAGACCTCTGGGCTGAGACCAGTAGGATCTCTGGAGGTACGGGAAAATGAGGAACCTCTCTGTGAGCTGTAGAGAAAGCCAGAGTCTGGAGCAGATGGCCTCAAAGGGACCACTCTGAGACTGGGAAAGTGATCAGGAGAAAGGTATTCATCATAGATTACAGATTCCTGAGGACGGTGTGGGATCATTTGGAAGGGAAGGAAAGCAAAGCCTGGGGCGCTGGGTGAGGGCCTCCTCTGCCCATTCCTGCCCCTTGGCAAGGACTTGCCTACACAACCCAGTCTCTTTATTTGCTGCATTGTTTACAAAGTACATCTGCCACTTCTCCAGCTCTTGACCCTTACCTGCGTGGCCTTTTGTGGGGCAGACCTGGAAACTCTTAAAGTAGGTGTGAATGCCCCAGGAAGCTATAATACTGAACTCCTTGGGAACGCTAAGAAATGGAAAGAAATTGACCAAAAACATACTTCTTAGGTGAGGCTGAGGACCAGGGGTTTGGGACCCAAGCGGCCGCTGCCTCCTGCTGGCAGAAGAGAGAGCAAGTGATAGTTCATAGCTTGGGGCTGAAAAGCCTCTAATTTATAAGATGAATCTCAGATTGTCACAATGCCCTCGAATGGAGAGCACTATATTGGTCTAACAATCACGAAGTTTCTGCTCTGTCTTAATTTTCGAAGATGAGTTTAGTCCTCTTCTGTCCAAAATGATAGCCACTAGGCACATGAGGCTGTTGAAATGTGCCTGGTCCCCATTGCAATGTGCTGTAGGTATAAAATCCACACCAGATTTTGAAGCCTTAGTAAATGGAAGGTAAAAGCTCTTATTAACAATTTTCCAATTGGTTACTTGATGAAATGATGGTATCCTGGACATGTTGTGTAAAACAAAACACTTTGTTAAAATAAATTCCTCTTTCTTTCCCCTCTTTTTAGGTATGGGTTACTAGAAAGTTTAAAATGACACCTTCACATTTGTGCCTCACATTCTTTCTGCTGAGCAGCGCTGGTCTAATCAGACAAAACCTCACCTTTTCTCTTTCATCTCTTCTCCTGTAGATAGCAATGTCACCCACCGCAGTGATGTGATTCAGAGCATCAGTGATGGAAGAGAAGTGCCACCTGGTTCTGTATTCACTTCACTGTGCTTCATTCTCCTCACCTCAGCAATCTAAGACAGAGGGGAAAAAAAACACTCTGGCCTGTACAAACCTCTGCTGCCTTGAAGTTTCTGCCAAGAGAAGGATGGATTGGCCGCTCTTCTCCTGGCTCCCCTGAGCTTGTCATCTGCCCAGCTTCCCAGGCACTTGTGCATTGAGGATTGTTCCTGCCAGTTCTGCCTTTCACAGATGTGGCTCTGGGGAAGGACCTGCAACAGTTCTCAGTGCACGGGGGGAAAAGGTGGCATTGGGCCAGGATTTTTTTTTTCTTTACAAATACAGTGTTTACAAAGGCAGCTGTGAAGCCCTCGCTTCCCTCAGCACAGAGCCATACACTTGCCACCTCTGTTCTCCTTAAAACTGGAAGAGGCCACTCTGAGGAGAAGCTGCATTTTTAGATGGATTTCTTCAAATTCCCCAAACCCTGCAGTGTGTTAAAAAAAAAAAAAAAAAAAAAAAAAAAAAAAAAAACAAGCAAAATTGCTGCAAAAACAAAACCAGAATGAGCCACTAATGAAGTCGTTTCAAATCTGATGGCAGAGAGTGAGAAAGCATTTATCCTCTACTCTCTCTCCTTGTCAAGCCAGCCTCAGGAAATGTCTAGAGTTCATCTTAAGGGACCTAATGGAGATAGATTTAGAGCTGAATTTCAATGATATAGAAGAATTTAGGTTGAGAGAGAGGTGAATGAGATTATTATAATAACTTGTGTTGATCAAGCCCCTTTTGACCCTGTTATTGATTAACTTTTACAATAGTCCTATGGGGTGAGGACAATTGTCAACTTCCATTTTGCAGCAGTATAAACTGAGGCAAGGGGTTGCTAGATAAGTTGCTTAAAGTCATAAGCTTAAAGACAGCAAAGACTGTTTCTAGCCTAACTCTAGAGCCAGTGCATGCAAGTGCTTCAAACCTCCCTACTACCCTGTCTCCCATATGTGAAGGGGCTGCAGAAGAAATGAGCAAGCTTGGCTTCATCTGTGTGTTCCCATCATAAAATTTAATCTTTCCCCATAAGTTCCAAAATTTTGTGAGCCTGCAGACATTTTTGTAACCTCTGAAATATTCATGATCATTCCTACACTTAATGCAAGGGCTTGGCTTCCGTAGTGTTGATGGAGAGCATATTGGATAGTAGATAACTTCCTATATGTGATATTTTAAACTTCTAGACACTGCATCCCACTAAGATGTAAGTTTTTTGAGGAAAGAGGTCTTTCTTATTTGTCTTTGTGTTCTGAGTTTCTATGGCAATGTCTGGCATGCAGTTGGTTGGTGTCTATTAACTACAACTAACCCTTCCTTCCAAGTCACACTTGAATAAAATGACTGAAAATAAAGACTGAAGAGTTAATATTCCCTCTCCAAAGAACTAAGGGAACAGTTACTCACTGGAAGATAACATTACTTATTATCTCTTATGTAATCTTTTAAATTCCTTTCACCCAGAAACTTTAATTACCAATGGGCAAATGCTTCTCTAATTATTTGGACCTAATTCCTATGTCATAGTCAAATAATTGGACTTGTAAATTTTAACAAGAATAACTACAAGCAAGTAAACAAACTAAATAATGCAAACATTCATATTTCACAGACCTTCCTGAATAAAAAAGAAATATTTTTGGTAACTGATAATTTTAGAGAACTGATTATATTCTATTCATTGCATTTTTCCCTGCTCAAAAAGTATAAAACAAATGTTCATTTTTTATGAGTCAAAATTGCAACATGTATAAATAATTGGTTTTCAATGATGCATGCAAATAATATCAAAACTTGTTTTAAATGTGGAAGCAATTGTGGATATAATTACAGAGTATGCAGTTCAGCACCCTTTTGCTCATCAATATATATGGACCCTCTAATGAATGTTCATCATTCCTTGGGAATCAAATCTGGCAGGTCAGATTCCAAGAAGATCATTCTTCCTGGTTGTCAAATAGACAATAGCCTAAAAAGCAAATCAATAGCAATATCCAAATCAATTGTACCATTTAGAACAGCAAGGCCCACTTAAAACTCAAACTCCAATTTGGTTAGTACTCAGAAAGAAATATTAATTACAGGGATACAAAACATGCTGTATAAATCTTACCTCTTCTCATTTGACCTCTCCCCCTCCTATTTTAGTGGGTAGTAGCCAACAGGAGTATGTTGGCTTTGGTTTCAGTGGTTGGGGGTGGGTGAGAATAGTTGCTTCCTGTGTTTACATATAACTCGTGTTTGTGTGGACCTACTTGTAGCCATTCTTGCCGTTGTTAAAAAATACATAGTAATTTCTCAGTTTTACAAATTTTGCAGACTTTGGCTTACTCACATTTGTAATTCCAAACTGCAATTAAAATTCTATGGCTTTGTGCCATTTCCTCTAGAACATTTCTTTTTGGGTAACCTGTAAAAGACAAGGGGATGAGTGAGTCCTTTAAACGCCATGAAGCTGGCCAGAATGACTTCAAGAAGGCAGTTTTGGAAATGAAGGTGCATAGCTTCAAAAGTCATTGGGCACTGCCTGCCATCTTTGTTATATCATCTATTGCTGTGTCATCCCTGTTTCCAACCTTAAGCCAATGTAATACATAAGCTGATCCTGAAGTCTAGAGAGGAATTAGTGAGCTGGCAAAGGGCAGGAAGGAGGAAGATGATAGCGAGTTTGAACAAGCTGTGCAAATGTTCAAATGCCCGGGAGAGAAGGCCCATCTGAGGACATGAGAGGAGGTTGGAAATAATGGAGCATTGCTTGTGTGCAAAGCTGAGGCTGAGCAGCCAGCAAGGGTAAGATCATGTAAAGTTGGGCAGGACATGCATAGCCATATAGAAATCAATTGCAACGTTTAGAATAGCAAGGCCCAATCAAAACCCAAACCCTAATTTTATTAGTACCCAGAAAGAAAGGTGAATGATAGGGATATAAAATGTACTATGTAAAGCTTACCTCTTTTCAGTTGACCCTCCTTCCTTCTATTTCAGTGGATAGAGTTGGCAAAAGAGCCGCATTAACTTTTGTTTAAAGTTCATTCTGAAAGTTAGGCTATTTGGTGAAATTTTTCAAAGATGGAGCAACAACTAGATTTCAACGTTAGAAATGGTAAAATCCATCCTAAAGATGTGGTTGGGGTGGAGGGATGGATAGATCTTTAAGACGTAGAATTAACACTATTGATGACTGGCGGTCGGAGTGAGTTTAGGACAACACCCGCATTTCCAGGCAGGTAACTCGAAAGACAACGGTGCCACTGATCAAAATAGGTATTTTTAAGTATTGTGGTTATTATTAGAGAGCAAATATGAAACGTGGGGTGGAGATTTTAAAAAAGAAGATAGTGACTCATTCCTGTAATCCCATCACTTTGGGAGGCTGAGGTGGGCAGATTGCTTGAGCTCAGGAGTTCAAGACCAGCCTGGGAAACATGGAGAAACTTCATCTACAAAAAAATACAAAAAAATTTTAGCCAGGAAGAAGACAATGTTTTACAGAGATTTTTCCTTAGCATGTGGCTCTCTAATGTGCACAGCTAAAAGAGGAAAAACAACGACATCAGAAACAACAAAGGGATGCCCAACACCCAACCCCCAGAAATTCTGATTTAACTGGTTAGAGTGGAGCCAGGCATTAGGTGTTCTTTGTTTGCTTGCTTTTTTTTATTATGATAAAAAAACAGCAACATACACGAAATACACCCTCTCAACAGTACAGTATTGTTAACTACTTGCCCATTGTTACACATATCTGTTGTGCAAATCTCTAGAAAGTTTTCACCTTGCATGACTGAAAGTCTATAATCATCGAACAGCAGCTCCTCATTCCTCTCTCTCACTAGCCCTTGGTAGTCACCATTCAAATTTCTCCTTCTGTGAGTTTGACTGCTTTAGTAGATACCTCATATCCATGGAATCATATAGTATTTGTCTTTCTGTGACTGGCCTATTTCATATAGTATAATGTCCTCTAGTTCTTCCATGTTGTAGCATGTGTCAGGATTTCCTTCTGGTGTAAAGCTGAATAATATTCCATTGGATGCACACACCACATTTTCTATATCCGTTCATCAGCTTTAGGTTGTTTCTACCTCTTAGCTATTGTGAGTAATGCTGCAAGAAACATGGAGGGCAAATATCTCTTCAAGATTCTGATTTCATTCAGTTCTTTTGCATAAATACCCAGACATGGGAATGCTGGATCATACGGTAGCTCTATTTTTAATTTTTTGAGGAATCTCCATACTGTTTTTCATAGCAGCTGCTCTCAGTGTACAAGGGTTCCAGTTCCTCCATTTCCTCACCAACATTTATTCTTTTCTTGCCCTCTGTTTTTTCTTCTCCTGTTTTGTTTTAAATAATGGCTGTCCACACTGGTGTCAGGTGGTATTTCATTGTGGTTTCAATTTCCATTTCTTTGATGATTAGTGATGCAGAGCATCTTTTTATACACCTGTTGACCGTTTGTATACCTTCTTTGGAGAAATGTCTATTCAAGTCATTTGTCCATTTTTAAATTAGGCTATTGATTTTTTTTTGCTATTAAATTGTATGAGTTTCTTACATATTTTGCATACTAGCCCCTTATCAGACATATGATTTGCAAATATTTGCTCCCATTCCACAGGTTGCCTTTTCACTCTGCTGATTGTTTCCTTTGCTGTGCAGAAACTTTTTACTTCAATTCAGTCCCATTTGTCTACTTTTGCTTCTGTTTCCTATGCTGTTGGTGTCATATTCAAGGAATCATAGGCGTCAGGTGTTTTTAGAAAGCTCCCCCAGAAGACTACTGTGCAACCAGGACTTAGAACCATTGGCCAAAACTACACCTTGCTATGATATAAAGCCTATGGTTCCATCTAGACATAAAAGTTCTCTCAGAAGAACAGACCAGCAGCTAACCATATTTATTGCCTATGTGGCAGGGTAATTCCTAGAGAGAGGAGTGTGTCTAAATCTCTGGATGGGATAAGTGTGAGGTAGTGAGAATGTAGCTGGAAAGAGCACATTCAATGTTGTTACATAATTTTATCTCCGAATAATAATTTTTTTCATAATTTAAACTAGAAAAAGTAACAATCCACTGGAGTCACACAGTTCAGAGAGTCTAGAATGTCAGCCCTATGAGGACAGAGATCTCTGTCCCATCCACTGCTGTATCTCTAGCCCACGGACAGCATATGGCACATTGTAAGCACTCAAAATATATTTGTGGAAGTGGCGGAGCCTGAGATTGGATGTGGTTCTGTCCTCCATGCCTGGAATTGTTGTTATCCTTTTATTATCCAGTCTCTTAGTGCCTCCTCTTTCCTGCCAATCTTATCATCTCCTCTTAGCTCAGAGTAAGCTCTGTCCAGCAGGCAGCTTTGTGTGGCTGCATCTTTCTTCTGTGAAGTTTTAAGGGCTGTATGTAACTGAGTCTCGAGTGCAGTGTGTGTGTGTGTGTGTGTGTGTGTGTGTGTGTGTGTGTGTGTTCATGGGGTGTGGGCATTGATTCATCCAGGAAATGTCCATTTACATACTAAAGTCTGGTTGATCTAGAAGAGTAGCTGAGCACAATCACTCCTATGTGTCCACAGATGAGGAAGCTTAACGTAAGTTAAGCCCAACCATATTTAACAAAATATTATGTCACCGTAGTGATGGAGTGACAATCATAAAAGTACTTAAATGAAAATATGAAATATGCACTGTTTTAAAGAGCTATTAAACTTCATTTCTTCATTGAAATTATCTTCGCTTGTATTTTAACAATCCGTACACTATCAAATGACAGTCTGTTTTGAATATGCCTGATAAAATTTTAAAAACCATTGACTTGTTTCTATAGCATAAATGTGAAAGCTTGTGGAAAGATAAAGAAATGGAATACACTTAACTGTTTTTCATAATTTTTATTTGATCATTTTAAAGCACTCAGATGAGGATTTGGGAAAATCTTCATGTCACTCTTTTAATAAAGCCACAGTGAGCACTTCATGCTGCTTCCACTTCCCACACACAAACTTTCTAATTATAAAAGGACCTTTTCAGACTTATTCAGGGCATATAATCTTATTTGCAGCTCCTAATTGGAGGACTGTGTTTGTTGAAAAGAACAGAAGTCTTCAGTCATTTAGAATAAAGCTGGCCCATCAACCCCTGTGGGAAGAAAAGAACTATTTATTTTATCCGTTAATCCCAAATACAAACACAATAAAGCTGTCTTTTCTAATCGTGACCTATTTCATGTTAAATTGGGATAAAGCTAGCTTTGCTCAATAAGACTATTGTGGTCAACAAAAAAGTCAATCTTATTAGGATTCCCACTGAATACCTTCCAATAACTTATCTTTTAAAATGCTAAACTCAAATCCCAGTTGAATTCTCCACGTTGTCTGACACAAAATGCAAATCTGGAAGGGAAATAACCTCAACTAGTGAGCCCCATCTAGTGGCAGGGAAGTAAATTGCTGTTCAAAAACCTGGTCTATATTTAGCCCTTATCTTTAATCTGATTTTTAAGACTCTTTTCTTTGTGTCCAAACCCTTATGTTTTTGTTCCTTTCTGGGGTTTTCTTGGTATATATTTATTTTTAAGAATAAATAACTTTCTATACCAAGCATATTCTTTTCTTGATAACTTATGAAAATATAACATTGCTTAAAATTAGCCAGATTTCCCCACTGATTTTATTTTAAAAATAAATAAATCGATCTTCTGCTTGATCGATTCAGGTATTGATACTTGTGTATACTTTAAAATTAAAGTATTAATTTTAAAATGTGGACAGTGATGTTCCTTGAATAGCATTAAAGAGCACTCAGGTATTAAACTGTGTTTGATTCAAATAATATTATTCACTTATCAATTTTATTTTATCAAAAGACCCCAAACGTTCTTTATTGATAGGCGCTTTAGAGAAGCAAGACTGAGTCACAGAAAAATACAATGGAACATCTAAGGACATTGAAGAATTCAGAGTCTACTTTCTCAGACATTTACATTTGAGGATTGTACTGGCTTGGAGGTCGGTTGCTTTTCTGACTACATCAGAGCTTAAGTGCAGTGTGTCTGCCTTCCACGCTTCTGCATTTCTTGACTTTGATTCTCACAATCATAAACATGTCAAAAACTGAGTAAGGCAACAGCAGGGCTCAGCTCCAGTCATACCTGGGAAATGCTTTTGCTGATGATTCTGCCTTATCAATGCAAACCTTCTTTTTTCCCACAAAAAAAAAAACAAGTTGACAACAGTCTTGTCATTTTATTTTATTATACTTTAAGTTCTGAGATACATGGGTCGAACGTGCAGGTTTGTTACATAGGTATAAATGTGCCACAGTGGGTTTGCTGCACCTTTCAACCTGTCATCTACATTAAGTATTTCTCTTAATGCAATCCCTCCTCTAGCCCCCTACACCAAAACAGGCCCCAGTGTGTGACGGTCCCTTCATGTGTTTATATGTTCTCATTGTTCAACTCCCACTTATGAGTGAGAACATGCAGTGTTTCGTTTTCTGTTCCTGTGTTAGTTTGCCAAGAATGATGATTTCCAGCTTCATCCATGTCCCTGCAAAGGACATGAACTCATCATTTTTTATGATTGCATAGTTTTCCATGCTGTATATATGCCACGTTTTCTTTATCCAGTCTATCATTGATGGGCATTTGAGTCAGTTTCAAGTCTTTACTATTTTGGATGATACTAACTGTTTATTTTGCCTGTTAGTTGATGCAGTGTCTTCATAGTGTTGATGGTCTTTACAATTTGGTATGTTTTCACAGTGGCTGGTACTGCTATTTCCTTTCCATATTTATTGCTTCCTTCAGGAGCTCTTGTAAGGTAGGCCTGGTGGTGACAAAATCTCTCAGCATTTGCTGGTCTGTAAAGGATTTTATTTCTCCTTTGCTAAGAAAGCTTAGTTTAGCTGGATGTGAAATTCTGGGTTGAAAATTCTTTTCTTTAATAATGTTGAATATTGGCCCCCACTTTCTTCTGGCTTGTAAGGTTTTTGCAGAGATCCACTTTTAGTCTGCTGGGCTTCCCTTTGTGAGTAACCTGATCTCTCTCTCTCTTGCTGCCCTTTTTCCTTCATTTCAACTTTGGTGAATCTGACAATTATGTGTCTTGGTGTTGCTCTTCTCAAGTAGTATCTTTGTATAATGGCCTGTCTTGCTAGGTTGGGGAAGTTCTCCTGGATAATATCCTGAAGTACGTTTTTCACCTTGATTCCATTCTCCCTGTCACTTTTAGGTACACCAGTAAAACACAAGTTTGGTCTTTTCACACAATCCCATGTTTCTTGGAGTCTTTGTTCATTCTTTTTTTCTCTAATGTTGTCTTCATGCTTTATTTCATTAACTTTACCTTCAAACTCTGATATTCTTTCTTCTGCTTGATCGATTCAGGTATTGATACTTGTGTATGCATCACAAAGTTCTCATGCTATGTATTTCAGCTGCATCGGGTCATTTATATTCTTCTCTAAACTGGTTATTCTAGTTAGTAATTTCTTTAACCTTTTTTCAAGGTCCTTAGCTTCCTTGCATTAGGATAGAACATGCCCAGAGGAATATATCATTACTCACCTTCTGAAGCCCACTCCTGTCAATTTGTCAAACTCATTCTCCATCCAGTTTTGTTCTCTGCTGGCAAGGAATTGTGATTCTTTGTAGGAGAAGAGGTGTTCTGGTTTTTGGAATTTTCAGCCTTTTTGAGTTGGTTTTTGCTCATCTTCATGGACTTATCTACCTTTGGTCTTTGATGTTGGTGACCTTTGGATGGGGTTTCTGTGTGGACATCCTTTTTGTTGATATTGATCTATTCCTTTCTGTTTGTTAGTTTTTCTTCTAACGGTCAGGCCCTTCTGCTGCAAGTCTGTTGGAGTTTTCTGGAGGTTGACTTCAGACCTTGTTTGCCTGGATATCACCAGCAGAGGCTGCAGAACAGCAAAGATTGCTGCCTGTTCCTTCCTGCGGAAGCTTCATCCCAGAGGTGTGCCTGCCAGATACCAGCCAGAGTTCTCCTGTATGAGGTGTCTGTCGACCCCTGCTGGAAGGTGTCTCCCAGTCAGGAGGCACGAGGGTCAGGGACATGCTTGAGGTGGCAGTCTGTCCCTTAGCAGAGCTCGAGCACTGTGGTGGGAGATTTATTGCTCTCTTCAGAGCTGGCAGGCAGGAACATTCAAGTCTGTTGAAGCTGCACCCACGGCCACCCCTTTCTTCAGGTGGTCTGTCCCAGGGAGATGGGAGTTTGATCTATAAGACCCTAATTGGGGCTGCCTGTCTTTCAAAGATGCCCTGCCAGAGAGGAGGAATCTAGAGTAGCAGTCTGACTACAGGGACTTTGTGGTGCTGCAGTGGGCTCTGCCCAGTCCGAACTTCCCAGCAGCTTTGTTTACACTGTGAGGGGAAAACCACCTACTCAAGCTTCAGTAATGGTGGACACCCCTCCCCCCACCAAACTCAAGTATCTCAGGTTGACTTCAGACTGCTGTGCTGGAAGCAAGAATTTCAAGCCAGTGGATCTTAACTTGCTGAACTCCATGGGGTTGGTA